CATGATCCCTTTGGATCTCCTTTCCTGAGAAACATCTGCAGGATCAGTCCAAGCTCAGGTTTTTCCCCCTGCTTAAGGACAGCGTAAGTAGGGAATCAGAGCATATAGCGGCTGCCACTCTGGGAATGCTAATTAAACCAAATTTATTTCAGTTACGCCAGGAGATCTTGGCCCTGCAGAAAATCTCTATGGAACCTCAAAGCCTAGGTAACTGCTACACATTTTCCTTCCAAGTGCTTCTCAGTCAGATTCTCAGACTTATATTATTAAAAAAAAAATCTGAAGGGCATTTTCTCCCCTTTATTGTATAGTTAAATCTACTCTATTTTTATTTTTCTATTTTCATCTAGTGCAGATCCTCCTCAGCCTTATCCCTGCCCACCGTCCAAGCTACAGCAAATCCAGATTACGTGTTATAAATAAGAAGAGTTCATAGCATATACATGTTATATTTAAAGGTCTTTTCCCCCTGGAGTCTCCCTTTAAATCTTGTGCTTTCCTTTTTTTCTTTTCTTTTCTTTTTTTTTTTCTTTTTTTTTTCCCCAGCAACCAAGAACATACTTTTTCCTTTCTTTGTATTTTCTGGTGGTTCTCAACTTAGCAGTGCCATGAATTTAATTTACTTAAGCAAATTTAGTTTCTATCGATGGGTTTACTGTTCCTGCCAATGTACTGAGCCTGCTATTAGTTCACTGACTGCGGGAACAGCGCTGAAGAGGTATAGACAACGGAGGAATTTACAGCACTGGCAGACCTGAGTGTCTGTGCCAGAGTATGATCCATCAATCATTTCCAGAGGCTTTTGCCAAGAAGGTGAAATCGCCAGATGTCTTCTTTTGGTAAAATTATAATTCCTTTTGAGCAGGGGAATAATCTTTCTCCAGTAGACATGAGTCTCCCCCCAAAAGCATCATCTCTAATTACGAAGACCTAGAAAAGGTAGTTAGCTCACTGGCTTCCAGCACACCATCTAAGTTGAAATGTCCCATCTCCACCTGATCGGATGGCATAATTTAGTTGCTGAGTACATCTGCATCTCAAAGTTCACTTCATGATTTTGATTGGACTCAAAAAAACAAATTTTTGCTTTGTGGAAATATTTATATTTGGCATAGATTTATACCATGAATCAAAATGAATTTTAACTTACAAACTATCTGTTGGTTTGTTTCACTGTAACATAAGCCAGGAGACCTTTTTCCTGGTCAATATACTTTACTGAGTCTTACGTCACTGAAGTACACCGAACACCACAAACTCTCCCCTGCCACATGCCCAGCAAAAACAGTGTTTCTGCCTATGGCAACGCCTACTGTTTTTTGCTTTTTTGTTTTTTCCCCCCTCATTTTTCATGAAATAGTATAAAAATAACAAAGCAAAACATGCAAAATTATAAAATTCAAAATTCTGATTCCAGCTTTCAAAGAAGGTTTTTCCCCAAAATCCAGATCCCCAGTTTTTTAATTCCAAAACTTTTTCCCCATGAGATTTTTCTTTTCAATTGATACAATTTCAGAAAAACTGTTTCAGCCTACTTTGCAACAACAATAAGGAAAAAAAAGCGCATCTCTTCCAACCACTATACCTGCTAGTAAGCAGTCACTGAGCTTCCTGACTGCTCTTATTATGGCCTTGTGAGTGAATGGAGCCCTTCGATTCAGATACATGCTCTAGCTGATGAACAAGACATCTTCCCTGCCCCGTAAATCTTGTAATCTTAATACGAATTTTATTCTTACATGCATTCACAAGCAGCCACCATTGTCAGCAAGCAGAGCAATTTGTTCAACAGAGAGCTGAATTGAGCCGTTAGGCTAACTCACATCTGTTCTCCCACATCTTTGATTTGAGGAGTAAATCAAAGACATCTACTGTAACTGGGAACTAGATGATGTAGCAAACAGAGTAAATGTTTTCCTGTGCTTCATGGCTGAAGTGCTGACATCATGTAAATGGTAGGAGGTTAAAAAGGTAGTCAAGAGGGGAGAAAATAATATTAATAACAGTGTCTCTCAAAATATCTTCTTATGGTCATGTTTTGGATCTGAGGGATAAATTACCATTTCCTACACGTTTTTCTTGATATATAGAAAGCAAGTAGTAACAAAGCTTTAGATTATTATCCTCATCCGCAATGATGAGTGTGACGCGATGACGACCGGAGCTCATTGCTTGAGCTGTTGTATGCATTTACTGAAAAGTAGAGATCTAACAGCAATATGCAGAACAGAAGAGGGGTAGAAAGGGTTGCTTATCACCCACTCCTAAGGTGGGATTGAGGTGGAAAGAAATTAAAGAGCTTTAACAAGGTTATTTGAAGATTCTAACACTGAACCAAGAACTGGATCTAAAGCTTCCAAATTCCCACCTGTACAACAAATACTGGCTCGTGCCATCTTTAATAAATCCTAAGTTAGAGAAAATGTTTTGTGCAGTTCTGCCTTCTCTAAGAGTAGCTTGCAAGGAAGAGGGTTTATAGGCAATTAGTTTGCAACTTTGTCTTCATTTTTTTTAGGTGCACATTTGGAGAGAGAAAACTTTTGTAACAAATATTATTTGGAAGAACTATAGCATTAGTGTGCTCATTTAATAACACAGAACCTGGAAAACATCTGTGGTGCGAAATTTTGTCAAAGCATATTTTTGGGACAGATTCCAATAGTTCCGTGGTGTCAAACCTGAATGACCAACTAAGCAAGGTGACTGAGCAAGAATGACTTGCGGGCCACACAAGACCACTAAATTGATTTATTTTCTTGCGTATAAAAGAGTATTAATACTCTGACAGAGTCATTTTCAAATGCAAATAAACACCTACGGAATAACAGGATGGTTTCAGTGCTTGGTTCAACTGTTCTCTCCAACAATGTGTGTGTATGCCTGTTCTTACAAAGGCATATTTTCCTTATGTTTCATTATATCTCTGTCCATGTTTGCACATCAGGGTTGCTTGGTCTCTTACAATGATCTTTCTCATAGTGTTACTGCATTCAGCTACTGACCGTGTTGCTGGATCACACTGAAATCCTCCTGTGATGGTCTTTACTCAGCAGGCTGGTCTGTGCCACAGGGACTGTGCAAAAAGGATATATTCTACTACTGCAGCAAGCCTTCCCCCGTGTTTATTTTTTAAGCGTTTCTGGTATATTGTTGCTCTTCATTTCATCAGGCATATTGATCCAAATGCAATCTAAAATTTGGTAGGATTTTTTCTTATATTCAAATCGCCTAATCTGATGAGTGTTTTTACCAGGATTCTTGTGACAGGAATTAGATACCCTTTGTGCAGTGCATAAGTCACAAGAAAGAAGGGCCGTTTGTGAAAATAACAGAGAGTTTTTAACTGGAAGCTGAAAATAGAAACTACAGCACTCGACAATCTTTTGAGCAGAAGGGCTTTTCTAAAAGGAGCAGTTTGTAAAGGGAGAAACAGGGGAGGTCAAGCGACAAAGAACAGGTCTATTGTTACAGGGAAAGCAACTGAAAAGCAAAGGTACTGCACCGTAAAGCAAGTACTAGAGGAATTCGCTGACTCTGCAAATCCTTTACCGGGAGCCCTGCGGAGAAATTATGATCTTTTGTTTTTTTTCTTTGTTTTTGCAAAAAAAGGAGCATATGCATTTCAGAACACTATAATAGGCTGTTAGGCAGATTCCAGTATTTAAAACTATCCTTTTTATATCCCTCACTTGTTTTCCTTATCCTAAGGTCATGATTCAGCAGCCTGCTTAAAGACAGGATGGATCCTTTTACTATCAACAGAATGACATACTTAAATTTTGGCAACTATTAAAATACCTCAGTGAAATGAGGCCTTAAATGAGATTTTGTGGGTGGACAAGTTTGGATTTGGCCTTACATACACATGCAAAGATGGTATGTAACGGTCACATCAGTTTCTGACATACTAATACACCTCTACTGATTTCAGAGAAGTCACATTGATTTATGCTGCTAAGGATTTGTCTTGCTGTATATATCAAACACATAAGCTGTATTTTTGGTCCATTAAACAAATATCGCTTTTCAGATAAACGGAACACTGCACTGGACAGTATGAAAGCAAGACTCCTCCAGAAATAATCTACGATAAGCCCTCTAATAGTAGGTTTTAAGTAGTTTATTTTCAATAACAAAATTTACCTTTTTCCTTAATTTTTAAAGGCATGTATTAAAGGCAATTATTTAAAGCCATATATACATTAAAGACATTATTTAAAGGCATATATAAAGGCAATTCTTGTCATGCGCTATTATGACAGGAACATTTCGTACTTGAGAAATATAATATTCCATTAAAGTGCGGGAGAAGCCAAGGGGAGGTCAAGCAATAAAGAAGGCAATCAAAAAGCAACTATCTGTCATGCTATGTTTATGCTGGGCTCCGTTTAGCACAGACCCATTTGTGGTTGCTCCTAATACAAAAATGTATGATTAATAATAATTTAGAATCGTGGAATCTTGGAATAACTCAAGTTGGAAGGGACCTCAGGAGGTCTCTAGCCCAACCTCCTGCTCAAAGCAGGGTCAAATATGGGGACAGTCCGGGTTGCTCAGGTCTTTATCCACTTGGCTCTTGAAAACCTCCAAGGATGGAGCTGGCACAATCTCCCTGGGCAACCTGCTCCACTGCCTGGCTGTCCTCATGGGAAAAAGTTTCTCCTTACATCCTGTCTGAACCTCTCTCGTTTCAGCTTGTGCCAGTTGTCTCTTGGCCCCATCTCCTTGTACCGCTGTGAAGAGCTGGGCTCTGTCTTCTTGACCTCCCCGCTGGTACTGGGGGCTGCTGTTATTTCTCTCTGAAGTAATCCTTTTTCCAGGATGAACAATCCCTAGCTCTACCTGGCCAAATGATCCATCCCGAAGCATCCTGGAAGTCTCTGATGGATTCGCTCCAGTTTGTTGATGTTTTTCTTTCACTGAGGTTCCAAACCTGGATGCACTATCCTAGACTTATGACAAATTCCTCTCTTTCTCTACTTATAAAAGCTCAATACTGTTGGGATCTAGATCAGCGGGGGCCTGTGATAAGGCACACGTAGGACTAACACGGAAGGGCTGTAGCTCAGACAGGGTCCAAGCACACGAGTGTTAGTGTAAAGCAGCTCCCTTGGGCTGGGGGGTTGAGGTATCAGTTTCCTTTTGTCTTCTATCATGACTAGAAATCTTCAGGTAAGAGCCAGGGTGCCATGGGCAGATGAAAGAGACTTCTACTTGGACAGTTCTGCAACCTGATGAAGAGTTTCTGCTCATAGAAAACATAACCTCAACTTTATGAAGCCAGAAGGCCAAATTCTGGACCTCCTACTTTCTTCTAGAAGCTATATTGCTTACTCTTTGTGAAGTCTGGAGCGTACATAACTGTTATTTTCTTCAGTTTTCTGGCAGAACCTGAACACACTCTTCGTTCATTCTGAAAACGGAAGATTTGACAGTAATAACAATCTACCGTACATCTATGGTATTCTCCATACCATGTATATGGTATAAGGATGTCACATAATAATTGACAGGACTTCACAAGGAGCCTCTTGAGATTTCTTACCTCCATTCTCCAGATCGGGACATTGTGACCTGAGGAATTCAGAAGACATAATAATAGAAAAATTAGCGTGGAGGCAATAATGGGTCATGCATTCTCTGAGGTACAGACCAGTAAGTCTGGCTTCCGTCACTAATAATATGATTGAGGCTGTAACAAAGAGTTGTTCATGGATAAACACAGTGTGTTGGAAAAAAGTCAGCAGGGATTCTGTAAAGGGAACTCCTGCCTCACTAACCTGGTCACAGTGTTATGAGGGTTCAGTAAGCATGTCGACAATGGAAATACAGCAGATACAATATATTTAGACTTTCAAAAAGCCTTTGACAAAGTTCCATGTCAAGCATTGTTAGAGAAACAAAGTTATTGCCGAGCAATGGCTAATCCAAGTTTTTGGACTGAAGCTGATGAAGAGGTAGGAAGTAAAGACCTGGTCACTTTTCAAGACAAAGAAAAGTCAGCAGCAGGGGCAAAAAGAGTGATTGTCACAATTTAAAATATAAAAGAACTTTCTAGGGGAATGAGACAGTGAGTACAACGTCTAAATTTAGGAAGGTATATTAATACTTCAATAATTTAGAAGATATTTCCCTGCTCCGTTACTAAGCATTCAGAATAGTCATGACCCTCACTCTTTCTTACACTGATGAGTTAACCAGTCACTGCTCCCTCTTTTACACCCACTTATAGCTGACTATTTGGGCTTAGAAATTGCCTTTTGGACATATCCATCTCTTTTAAGGAACTTGCAGTTCAAGTGCTCTCCTATGTCTCTCAGCTCCACTGCAGGTGGGCCCTACACTGAAGTCGTTCAAACTGGGTTGCTAGTCTCATAACCTGAAGTCCTTAGCACTGCACCAGCTAGCATCCTCCTCACTGTCTCAGATTCCCAGAGAAAGATCAACGTTATAAAGAACTGCACTGGTGTCTTGCCTACAAATGAGGCCTTTGAGAGGAAAAAATCTTGTTTCTAGCTATTACAGAGAAGAGTCCATTACTCCAACAGTGCAGGCTCTGGTTCAGTGATACTCACCTCCTCCCCAGATCTGACGTGATTCTCCTGACATTTCCTTGGAAGGCAGTAATAACAGCCTCTTTATTATTATCTAACAAAAATCCCTCAAAAATCGACATGTGTGACAGGTAAGCAATGTCTGGCTCAGTAAGTCCCTCTTGCCCCATGAAGGCTCCTTCCTCTCTCTCATTAGTCTGTCTGGATTTTGCTAAGCTCTTCTCTTCATTCACCAATGACCCCTCACCTCCATGAAGATTTCAGGTCCATGCCTTACACCTGACATCTCTAGGCTAATTATGAAGAACTCTCCAGGAACTAACAGCCCTCCCTGTCCCTTCTCACCCCCAGGGACCTCCCCCAGCCATCGGCCCCTGACCCTGACCTGTAGGCGATCGCCCAGCCTGGCCCCAGCCCTGATGCAACAGGCTGGTCAGAGACACAGATCTGTAGTCTTCATCCTGCTGACAATGCAAGCATGGATTTCTATGTTGTCATTGTTCAGTGTCTTATTATACCTCTTCTTTCTGTAGATAATTTTAGTCCCATAAATTCTCTTTGATAGCTATTTACAGTGTGCTTCTGCTCTTCAGAGTGACTATGGGGCTCCATAAGCATTGCATATCGGTGATTTTTCATATCAAATAAGCTCAGCTTGCAAGCTGATGTTTTTTTTTTTTTTTCACTGCTTCCAGCTCCACAAACGCCGACCCTTACCTACACTGTGCTAACCAGAACTGGTGCTTTCCGCAGCACAACACCATGTGCACATGCCTACCTCGTTCCTGCCTCCTGGAGTCATCTCCTGGGGAATCAGCTCTGGTAGTTCTGGACCCACTGAATACACACAGCTCAGAGGCTTTTTTCTTCTTTGATATCACTAATGGCAATAAAGATGGTGCCATGGTTTTAAACACACAGTTTTCAGAT